GTAACATGGCCTGTCCTTCATGTAACCTGGCCTGGCCTTTATGTAACCTGGCCTGTCCTTTATGTAGCCTGACCTGTCCTTCATGTAACTTGGCCTGGCCTTTATGTAACCTGGCCTGTCCTTTGTGTAACCTGGCCTGTCCTTTATGTAACCTGGCCTGTCCTTTATGTAACATGGCCTGTCCTTTATGTAAACTGCCTGTCCTTCATGTAACCTGGCCTTTTCTTTATTTAACCTGCCCTATCCTTTATGTAACCTGGCCTGTCTTTTATACAACATGGACTGTCCTTTATGTATACTGGCCTGTCCTTTATGTCACCTGGCTTAGCCTTTATGTAACCTCGCTGGTCCTTTATGTAACCTAGCCTGTCCTTTATGTAACCTGCCCTGTCCTTTATGTAACCTGGCCTGTCCTTTATGTAACCTGTCTTTTATGTTACCTGTAGCCATCCCGAATGTCGCGGTGCACAAAAACATCAAAAAAATCGCTGTCGCGCATGCGCAAACGATTTTTCATCGAAATAATGCTGCTACCTTCGAGACTTAACAGTTTTTGGGCATCCCGAATGTTGCAGTGCACAAAAATATCGAAAAAATTGTTGCCGTGCATGCGTAAACGAGTTTTAATTGAAAAAATGCTTCTACCCTCAAAATTTTACATTTTTTGGGCATCCCGAATGTCGCGGTGCACAAAAACACTGAAAAAATTGTTGCTGCGCATGCGCAAACGATTTTTCATCAAAATAATGCTGCTACCTTTCGTGATTTAACAGTTTTTGGGCATCCCGAATGTCGCGGTGCACAAAAACATCGAAAAAATCGTTGCTGCCGATAAGCAAACCTTTTTCCATCGAAATAATGCTGCTACCCTCGAGATTTAACAGTTTTTGGGCATCCCGAATGCCGCGGTGCACAAAAACATCGAAAAAATCGTTGCTGCGCATGCGCAAACAATTTTTCATCAAAATAATGCTTCTACCCTCGAGATTTAACAGGTTTTGGGCATCCCGAACGTTGCGGTGCACAAAAACATCGAAAAAATCGTTGCCGCGCATGCACAAACGATTTCTCATCAAAATAATGCTGTTGTCCTCGAGATTTAACAGTTTTTGGGCATCCCGAATGTCTCGGTGCACAAAAACATCGATAAAATCGTTGCCGCGCATGCGCAAACGATTTTTTATCGAAATAATGCTGCTACCATCGAGATTTAACAGTTTTTGGGCATCCCGAACGTCGCGGTTAACAAAAACATCGAAAAAATCGTTGCCGCGCATGGGCAAACGATTTTTCATCGAAATATTGCTGCTACCCTCGAGATTTGACAGTTTTTTGGCATCCCGAATGTCGCGGTGCACAAAAACATCAAAAAAATCGTTGCTGCGCATGCGCAAACGATTTTTCTACGAAATAATGCTGCTACCCTCGAGACTTAACAGTTTTTGGGCATCGCAAATGTCGCGGTGCCCAAAAACATCGAAAAAATCGTTGCTGCGCATGCGTAAACGATTTTTCTACGAAATAATGCTGCTACCCTCGAGACTTAACAGTTTTTGGGCATCGCAAATGTCGCGGTGCCCAAAAACATCGAAAAAATCGTTGCTGCGCATGCGTAAACGAGTTTTCATCGAAATAATGCTGCTACCCTCGAGATTTAACAGTTTTTGGGCATCCCGAATGGATGGTTGTCCAATACTGTTGCAAGCATACGGGTCGTTCGTTTCGTAAAACTTTTTATACGGATGGTAAAGCGGTTTAGGCATTTCTATTCGTGAGAAGTAGGCAACTATTCGCACCATTGGTATCGAATAGACTCTTAGTTTACGATCCGTAAATAGACTATGTCGATTGGTAAACGCACTTTGTCGACTAGAACATGAGGCATGGAAACTAGCGTGTGTCTAAGGCGTAAACAGCTATATCCCCAAACAGACTGTGTCTATAGGATAAGGAGATGAAGAGATTGTCGATCCGTACCATTGGTATCAAATGGACCGTTGGTTTACAATCCGTAAACAGAGTGTGTAAATTCGTAAATAAGGCATGATGTGTCTAGGACATGGCTCTCAAAAGCTTGTCGATCCGTACCATTAATATCAAAAAGACTTTTCGTTTATGATCCGTAAACAGAGTGTATCGATTCGTACATAGGGCATGATTTGTCTAAGACAGGGCTCTCAAAAGCTTGTCGATCCGTACCGTTGGTATCGAATGAACTGTTCGTTTACGATCCGTAAACAGAGCGTGTCGATTCGTAAATAGGGCATGATGTGTCCGGGATAGGGCTCTGAAAAAGTTGTCGATCCGTACCATTGGTATCGAATGGACTGTTCGTTTACGATCCTTAAACAGACTGTGTCGATTCGTAAATAGGGCATGATGTGTCTAGGATAGGGCTCTGAAAAAGTTGTCGATCCGTACCATTGGTGTCGAATGGACTGTTCGTTTACGATCCGTAAACAGATTGTGTCGATTCGTAAATATAGGGCATGATGTGTCTAGGATAGAGCTCTGAAAAGCTTGTCGATCCGTACCATTGGTATCGAATGGACTGTTCGTTTACGCGGATCCGTAAACAGAGTGTGTCGATTCGTAAATATAGGGAAGATGTGTCTAGGATAGGCCTCTGAAAAGCTTGTTGATCCGTACCATTGGTATCGAATGGACTGTTCATTTACGATCCGTAAACAAACTTTGTCGATTCGTAAATAGGGCATGATGTGTCTACAATCTCGTGCAAAAAGGTTTGAGACAAGCTATTTATTGAAGTATTTATCCTATAAAAAGTAGTTTTTGCCCCCCTCCCCCCCAAAACAATGTTGTTTCAACATGTTTTGAAGTAAGGGGATATTCAACAACACATTTACAACATTGTTTTGGGGGGGAGGGGGCGCCAGTCGGAAAACGTTTGTAAAAATGTAAAGTGTCTCATCATTTTTGCACGAGATTGTCTGTGTACATGCCTTTATGTGTAGCCAGGTTAAATAAAATTACGTAAAAATTATTTTAATCCTGATATGAGCCCAGCCACCGTTTCTATGTAGTATAAAGGCTTTGATGTAGTTGTTGTGAGAAACTCTATGAAAAAAAAATGATTAAGGAACACGGATCAGGGGCCTGGGGCGAGTAAACAGATATTTTGAATTTTATTATTCCTTCTGACAGCAACGACGAAATTCTTTAAATACAAAAGTAATCACACTGTTTATGGCCGAATGGAGCAGACGGATATCCCTGAGTCAGAATGTGATGCTGACGATTTCCATCACAATTCGCTAACTTCTTCAAACATACGAAGAACATACTTGGTGACGTATAGCCAAGCAGACCTCCAAATATTTCCGACAAGGCAAAGTTTTGGAGAGCAAGTTGCTTATTATTTTAATGAAGGGACGGGAAAAGTTAAAGTTGAGTACTGGGCCTGTTGCAAGGAGCCACACGAGAATTATGGTGTACATTATCATATGAGCTTAAAGCTCGATGGAGCGAAACGATGGAAAAGAGTGAAAGATAAAATGATGCAAAACCATGGAGTTGTGCTGCACTTTTCCAATAATCACGATAACTATTATTCAGCGTACCAATATGTCACAAAGGAGGACACTGAAGTATTTTTAAGCGCCAATCACCCAAACCTTACCGAGATTGGTTCTCCTAGGACCAAAACATGCATTCGAGCATATCGAAAAAGTCGAATGAAGAAAAGAAAACCCGATGTAACCGAGCCGGAAGAACAGCCTAAGAAGATTGTTAAACGTCTCAGCAACTTGGAGGTCTCTGAATTTATGGTAGCTAATGGAATAAGAAGTCACACAGAGTTGCTTGCCATTGCGGAAGCCCAGAGAAAGGAAGGCCATAAAGACTTAGTCAATTTCATTTTATGCCGCTCAAACAAATCTGTCCAGGAGCTTATTGACAATATCTGGCGTTTGCAACATGCACAGGCTACCCTTGATAGAAAGAAACAGTCTCGTATGGACTTGCTACGGGATGCAAGCAAAGTAGTATGCGTTGATGGCTGCAATGGCGAATGGATAAGGTGTGCACGACAGGTATTAAAAAACAACATATTCATCCAGTGGTTTTTGGTTCAGCGCTGAAGGATCTTTTAACAAAGGGAAGGGGGAATTTAGAAATCTTATGCTTGTTGGCTGTGCGTGTTCTGGAAAGACATTTTTGTTTGACCCGCTTTGCCAGATATTCAAAAGTTTCGTGAATCCGGCCTGTGATAAATATGCATGGGTGGGAGTTGAGGAATGTGAGGTTATCTATCTAAATGATTTTAGATGGACCTCAACTCTCATATCATGGAAAGACTTTCTGTTACTCCTAGAGGGACATGTCGTTAATTTACCTGCTCCGAAGAACCAGTAGGCAAATGATGTTTGCATTGATACCGACGTGCCCATTTTTGCCACTTCAAGCAATCCAATCGTCTTTTACGACAGAAACGGGCGGATCGACGAACGCGAAACGGAAATGATGTCTGTGAGATGGAGGATCTTTGAATTCACTAGACAAATTCCACAGGCCGAACAAAAGGACCTTCCGCCGTGCCCACGCTGTTTTGCCGAACTAGTACTGTTGGATGAACAGTTCTGACTCGCCTTGGTGAACTTTTAACTTCCAAGAAAAACACGAAACACGTTACGCGCACGTTACGCACACGTTACGCAACACGTTACGTTTGGGATTATAGAGAACATTAACGAAAAGTGACACGTTACACACGTTACGCCTTATTATTATTAGTGTAACAGTGCACCTATTGTGATTAGATAATGTGACAGTGCACTATTGTAATTAGATAAAGTAACAGTGCACTATTGTAATTAGAAATATGAGAGTCTTGAGCACATGTATATAGGGAGCACGAGGATGAAATAAAAGACACTTAGAAACTGGATCGAACGTGTGTGTGTCTCAGACAGCTCGGCCCGTTACAATTTGGTGGCAGCGGTGGGATTTAAAGAACGGTTTATAGAGATGTCTAGAGCAATTCTTCCCTCGAAGTTTGAGCGGGGAGATTTAACAATCTTTAAAACAGGGAACGGGGAATGGGGGAATGGAACGGGGAATGGAAGGGAATGGAATGGCTTCGGGGAATGAGCCGGGGAATGGAATGGCTTCGGGGAATGAGCCGGGGAATGAGCCGGGGAATGGAATGGCTTCAGGGAATGTGCAGCTTGTGCGTCAGTGCGAGTTTGTTTGGCCCATTTGGCGTGATTAAAACCTGTAAACGCTTCCATGTCACGAATCATGAGACAGCTACTCACAGTTTGAATTCCTTGAGGTAAAAGACAAAGCGATTACAAGCTCATAGTATAAATGCGATGTTTGCATTGTCATTGTGATGTACATTGATGTACATTATATAGATAGAATTTAGGTAGGTGGTTCAATGTAAATCCTCCAAAATCTGAAGGCAATTAGTATAATACTGTAATAGTATTTTTTGCAGAAATCTTTTTAGTTCTTAATATGCCTTATAAAGCTCAATGTGTGTGATTAAAAGGTGAATAAAGATACTGACACAGTGTCACTTGTTTGTTTTTTATTTCAGGCTATGTGAACAAGACCTCTGGACAGTTTTGTTAATTTAAGCAGAAATAATGGTTGTGGTGGAAATGTGGTGAATGCATTCTTGACAAGTTAATGGGTTTGCTTCCAAGAATACACTGAAACTTGGAGCAACAATGACTTTGAATATAATTATGTAATTAATATATTATTTATTAATCTTAATTTATATGACTTTTTACCTCACATAATTCAAATAATGTTCAGATAAAAGGTAATATTTCACTGTTAATGGTGTAATAAATATTTTATATGTTGATTATATTCATAATGAATTATTTGTCCTGCTCCATACTTTGGCAATTCTGTTTAAGAAATCCCACCATAGTAGATCTTTTTTGAAATAGTTACAGTCAAGTTGTTGTCTAGTTTTAGTACAAAATAATACAAGTGCTACAATTAAACAAGGGAAAATAATAAAAATTAATTACATAAGCAAGCACATTTTCTATTTTAAAAAGGTCTATGAATTGAGATGACATGTACTAACAATTTTGCATTAATTAAAGACAATTGTATTATACTGTGGGTTCTTTAATATTGTCCAATACTCCCAGTGACATCCCACTGAAATTCCTGCAGGTGTCTCAATCCATCAAACCAGTTTATCTTTTATTGCTTATATTTAAGTCAGAATCAATGTATTCAATATCAATATGTAAAAATAATATCTAAGTTCTACAACATTATTTTGACAAGTCTGTTAAAGGAGAAAAGTAATTTTTCCTCTTCATCAGAATTGAGAACCATGTTCTTGAAGCCAACCCCCCTCCTTGGCAGGATGATTATGGTACAAAATGAGAAGGGGGGTGTTGAAAAATTTCTGGATTTCTTCTTGGGGGGTCTCCAAAAAGATAACATATTGATATTGAATACATTGATTCTGACTTAAATATAAGAAATAAAAGATAAACTGGTTGATGGATTGAGACACCTGCAGGAATTTCAGTGGGATGTCACTGGGAGTATTGGACAATATTAAAGAACCCACAGTAATAATACAATTCTTTAATTAATGCACAAAATTGTTAGTACATGTCATCTCAATTCATAGACCTTTTTAAAATAGAAAATGTGCTTGCTTATGTAATTATTTTATTATTTCCCTTGTTTAATTGTAGCACTTGTATTATTTTGTACTAAAACTAGACAACAAACTTGACTGTAACTATTTCAAAAAAAGATCTACTTATGGTGGGATTTCTTAAACAGAATTGCCAAAGTATGGAGCAGGACAAATAATTCATTATGAATATAATCAACTATATATATTTATTCACCATTAACAGTGAAATATTTACCTCTTTATCTGAACATTTTTGATTATGTGAGGTAAAAAGTCATATAAATTAAGATTAATAAATAATATATTATACATAATTATATTCAAAGTCATTGTTGCTCCAAGTTTCAGTGTATTCTTGGAAGCAAACCCATTAACTTGTCAATAATGCATTCACCACATTTCCACCACAACCATTATTTCTGCTTAAATTAACAAAACTGTCCAGAGGTCTTGTTCACATAGCCTGAAATAAAAAACAAACAAGTGACACTGTGTCAGTATCTTTATTCACCTTTTAATCACACACATTGAGCTTTATAAGGCATATTAAGAACTAAAAAGATTTCTGCAAAAAATACTATTACAGTATTATACTAATTGCCTTCAGATTTTGCAGGATTTACATTGAACCACCTACCCAAATTCTATCTATATAATGTACATCAATGTACATCACAATGACAATGCAAACATCGCATTTATACTATGAGCTTGTAATCGCTTTGTCTTTTACCTCAAGGAATTCAAACTGTGAGTAGCTGTCTCATGATTCGTGACATGGAAGCGTTTACAGGTTTTAATCACGCCAAATGGGCCAAACAAACTCGCACTGACGCACAAGCTGCACATTCCCCGAAGCCATTCCATTCCCCGGCTCATTCCCCGGCTCATTCCCTGAAGCCATTCCATTCCCCGGCTCATTCCCCGAAGCCATTCCATTCCCTTCCATTCCCCGTTCCATTCCCCTATTCCCCGTTCCCTGTTTTAAAGATAGCCATTTGGCTGCGCGAATTTGATGCTTGCGCTGAGGCAAATGGGTGGAACGCAGATGCGAAAATCAAGAAATTCCCAGCTTTTCTCCGGGGCGAAGCAGCGAGCCATTTTTACGTACTGGACGAGGAAGCTCGTGAAACATATGACGCTGTTACGAAAGCCCTAAAAGAGACCATGTGTCCTGCGGCGTGTAAAGAAGTGTACTTTGCCGAGTTCGAAGCGAGACTTTTAAAGCCAGGCGAGGACCCGACGGTGTACAAGTGGGAGTTGGAGCAAATTTTATCGAAAGCTCAACCAGACATTGATGCCGGAGCGAAAACCGCGTTGTTAACGAGGCCGTTCATGAAAGGTTTACCCAAAAACATTCGAATGAAGTTGCTAGAGAGTGACCCTACGCCAGATCTGAAAAAAATGGTGTCATTTGTTCAACGGTACAGGGCAATTCAGGAATTTAACGACCAAGGGAATGTGACGCAGAGTGCTGGTGTGGCAAGCGAAAAGAGTGGTGAAGAAATGACCAAATTGGTGGCGCTGGTGTCCGACATCGCCGTGCGACAAAAGAATCTGGAGGAGAAGTTATCGCGGAATAAACGAGATGATCTATCGGCGCAAACGAAAGATCGAAGCAACAGAAAATTTTTTGTCTGCAAGAAAATGGGCCACATCGCCAGGGACTGTTGGCACAATCCACAACAGCAAAGCCAGACGTTTGATTCCACAAACAGATGTTATGAATGCCAGGGATACGGACATTTTGCCAAAGACTGTGCGAATCGTTTAAACTCCCAGCGGGCGATACGATAAGTGGGATCAAAGATCGCCCTGGGGTAAGTTTTAATACCTTCAATGTTTCATTATCCACACAACCATATGTTAAATGTTTTGTAAATAATGTTGAAGTTCATGCACTTATTGACACTGGTTCCATGAGAACATTTATAAGCCATACTTTACACAGGATTATTGACTTTGATAGTAAATTAATTAACACTACTGTCGCAGAACGTTGCGTATCCATCACCGGCGGTAGTTTAAATATCCTTGGGTGCCTCGACACAAACATAACGTTCCCCAAAAGTAAGCGAGCGTACAAAGGACGTCTTCTTGTTAGCGACAACATCAGTTACGACTGTGTGTTGGGGTGGGACTTCCTCGAAGCAAATAGGTTGAGTCTACAGGGGGATATTCGCAGTGGGTCTAGCCCCTATTACTTAACGGGGTCTCACGGGCGGACTGAAGTTCTTTTATCACCCCTTTCCAATGGTGGACTGATATCTGGAGTGACTGAGGCAAGTGGTGACCCTTCTGGCGAAACGCCCAAAACATGCGTGGAGAACGATTCAACTTTCCTTATCCAGTCTCGTATGAAAGCCGAAATTGCCGTAGTTTTAGACCAAAATGTTGTCGTGCCCGCGAGATCTGAGATGATTGTAGAGGGTAGATTAGTAAAATCAGCACAGACAGAAATAGGCATGATAGCGCCTCTAAAGAGCGAGTCAGGTAACGACATTCATGTGGCACATACAGTAGTCTGCCCGCAAGGTAGAAACATTGTTTTACGAGTCATGAACGCACATAGCGAACCTAGCGAGCTAAAATTCGGTACCAAAATCGCAGCATTTAGCCCTCTAGTCCAATCTCACAGCAAAATAAGTAGCGCAAGCTGTGGTATTAAGGCAAATAACGGAAAGGGCGAAACAAACAAATTTGAAGGTGTTATAAATTCTAATTTAAATCAGGCCGATAAAAGCTGTGTTCTTGAAGTCCTATCCGAGTTCGAAGATGTGTTTGAGGCTACATTAGGGCACACAAATGTAGTGACACATAACATCGATACAGGTAACTCTAACCCCATTAAACATCGCCCTCGCCGTTTGCCGTACGCGTATCGAGAAGAGGCTGACAGACAAATCAAAGATATGTTAGCACAAGGTATTATAAGTCCTAGTACCAGCCCATGGGCAAGCCCTATTGTGTTAGTTAAAAAGCGGTCAGGGGAACTACGTTTTTGTGTAGATTATCGGAAATTAAACGAAGTAACACTCAACGACTCGCATCCAATTCCAAACATTGCGGACATACTAGATTCTTTGGGAGACGCAACATATTTTTCAACATTAGATCTACGCAGCGGGTACTGGCAAATTAACGTTGACCCCCGTGATCGGCCAAAAACGGCTTTCGTTACAAGCTCGGGTCTGTTTGAGTTTAACCGCATGAGTTTTGGCTTAAAAACGGCTCCGGCAACTTTTCAGCGTGCTATGGAAATAGTCTTAGCAGGTCTCACGTTCGAAATATGTTTATGTTATCTTGATGATGTTATTTGCTTTGGGCGCAACCTTGGCGAACACAATGACAGATTGAGAGCAGTCCTTGACAGGTTTCGGCAGCACAACTTGCGCGTTAAGTTGGAAAAATGTCGGTTTGCGGAAACTAGGGTTGCATTCTTAGGTCATGTCATTTCTAAAGACGGCATCAGCCCTGACCCACAGAAAGTCGAGGCAGTACAGAACATCAGTGCGCCAAATGTATAACAGAGTTGCGTAGTTTTTAGGACTCGCCAGTTACTATCGCCGCTTTATTGCGAATTTTGCAACAGTCGCCGCGCCTCTAACTAAACTTACAACAAAAGAAGCCGCCAGAACACCTTTTGATTGGTCGAACGAGTGCGAAATATCTTTTAAGAAAAATTAAACGTCAGCTCTGTTCCGCACCCTTATTAGCTTACCCAAAATTCGATCGCGAGTTTACTCTTTACACGGACGCATCAGATGTTGGTTTAGGTATTGTACTTGCCCAGCACGATGACAATGGTATAGAAAGAGTCATCGCATACGGCTCTCGCAGTCTGACGCAACGGGAACGCAATTATGCGACCACTGAAAAAGAAGCGTTGGCAATTCATTACGGCACCCAACACTTTCGTCTATACCTCTTAGGGCGCAAATTCAGAATAATTACTGATCATAATGCACTTCGTTGGCTAAATTCCATCGAGCTGAAAGGGCGTTTAGCCAGATGGCTAATGGATTTGCAAGAGTTCGAATTTGTGGTTCAACATCGACCGGGTAAATCGCATTTGAATGCAGATGTCTTATCACGCCTAGTAGCTAAGAAATGCGAGGAAACATGTCAAACTTCCGCTATCCACACGATTCCTTCAATGCTAACTGAATGGAAAGCGACGGCAAAGCGTCTCATAACAGCGCCTGTTATCTATGTGCTTGGGCTCCTTTTCATGCTTTGGGCTAGTTGTGCACGCGCTATCGATTTTATCACATTGCCGCGAAAATGCACTACAAACAAATTACTCAACCCACACGCGCGCGCTTTCCAACCGCAAACACAAGCAACTGAGAATACACCTGTCTTTAGGCATGAAAAAATTAACTCAATTACTGTAAGCCCAACTATAAACCTACATGAAGCACAACGGCAGGACAGCAATATCTCGAAAGTTTTGGAATTTAAGATGCACAAGAAACCACGCCCAGATTTCAAGGAGTGGAGCATTGACCCAGTTCTGAAAAATTTTTGGCATAATTACGATCGCTTATTTATACATAATGGTTTACTAGTACGATCTCGCCACAACCAGTACACATATCCTGATCACGCCATTGTGATTCCACAATCCATAGTGCCTAAGATACTCGACGGTATGCATGATCGTGCGGTCATCTCGGCTCAGCACAAACCGGACAGCGTATTCGCGAAAGATTTTATTGGGCAAATCTGCGTGCCTCTGTGCAAGCCCATATCCAACATTGCGTATCTTGCCAGCGCCGCAAATCACCTTCGAATCCAGATAAAGCGCCTATGAAAACGATCAGTGTTAGTGAGCCTTTTACATTTTGGGCATTAGATTACATGGGCCCCATATCGGAGACCGCAAGGGGGAATAAATATATACTCGTTATCATGGACCATTTTACCAAATGGTGCGAGGCGTTCCCTACGAAAGATCAAAAGGCCTCAACCGTGGCCGACTGTTTAATATCCAAAGTATTCTCGCGTTTTGGACCGCCGCTCGTGCTGCACTCAGACCAAGGGTCAAACTTTGAAAGTATTTTATTACACGAAATTTGTAACATTATGGGGATAACGAAAACACGAACCACAGCATACCACCCTTCCGGGGATGGCCAAGTGGAGCGACAGAATCGCACGCTACAAGACGCTTGCGCATTATGTGTCTAACAATGCTGACGATTGGGATGTTTGGCTAGATTCCGTTCTCTTTGCCTATAATACAAGCAAACATGAATCTACTGGGCTCTCCCCGTACGAACTCGTATTCGGAAAAACACCTCGCATGCCTCTGGAATTAGAATTCGGTGTAACGACTGGGAATCCAAGCACTCAACAGAGTACGCACAGAAAGTCCGCAATAACCTTAAGAATGTTAGGCAGCTAGCTAGAGAGCACTTAGATAAGGTAAGGTCAACCAGGTGTTCAAATCACGACAATAAGAACTGGAAGCCGCATGCAGTAGGTCAGACCGTTTGGGTGAAACGCCCAAAGAAAGGTAAGTTCGGTAGGAAGTGGATAGGGCCGTATAAGGTAGTGAAGAGAATGGGGACGACCTATCGAGTTAGCTCGAATGATGGAAAAGTTATGGTAGTTCACCACGACAACCTTAAGACAGGCTATATACCACTGGATAGCGGCCGAATCGTTGCTCCTGGTCGTGAGTCGGGTGATTTCGCAGTGGTTCACGCATTGCCCGAGCACCCCGTGTTACAACCACCTCCCCGTAGGCCTAGAGGTGACCCCCAACGTTATCAACTTCGGCAAAACATACGTCCTCCCGAACGTTATGCTTACGATTAGCTAAATCGTCGACTATGTAAAAATATGTTGTTTTCGGGGACGAAAACTTAAGTGAGGGGAAAATGTAACAGTGCACCTATTGTGATGAGATAATGTGACAGTGCACTATTGTAATTAGATAAAGTAACAGTGCACTATTGTAATTAGAAATATGAGAGTCTTGAGCACATGTATATAGGGAGCACGAGGATGAAATAAAAGACACTTAGAAACTGGATCGAACGTGTGTGTGTCTCAGACAGCTCGGCCCGTTACACTAAATATGATCAAGATCATAATAAGAAAATTATGGTTGCCATAGTAACCATCATTTATCATGAATAATATGCTAAATATGATCAAGATCATCATAATGAAAATTATGGTTGCCATGGTAACCATCATTTTCATGAATAATATGCTAAATATGATCAAAATCATCATAATATGTTAATTTTGATCATTATCATCAAAATGATGATAATGGTTGCCATGGTAACCATAATTTATTATGAATGATATGCTAAATATGATCAAGATCATCATAATGAAAATTATAGTTGCCATAGTAACCATCATTTATAATGAATAATATGCTAAATATGATCAAGATCATCATAATGATCATCTTGGTGGAAATTGCAACCATAATTTATTATGATTAACATGTTAATTTTGATCATTATCATCAAAATGATGATAATGGTTTTCATGGCAACAATCATTTATCATGAATAATATGCTAAATATGTTCAAGATCATCAAAATCAAAATTATGGTTGCCATAGTAACCATTATTTATCATGAATAATATGCTAAATATGATCAAGATCATCATAATGATAACTATCGTTGCCATGGCAACTATGATTTATCATCAATATTATGCTAAATATAATCAAGATCGTCATAATATGTTAATTTTGATCATTATCATCAAAATGATGATAATGGTTGCCATGGTAACCATCATTTATCATGAATAATATGCTAAATATGATCAAGATCATCATAATAAAAATTATGGTTGCCAAGGTAACCATCATTTATCCTGAATAATATGCTAAATATGATAAAGATCATCATACTGAAAATTATTGTTGCCATTGTAACCATCATTTATCATGAATAATATGCTAAATATGATCAAGATCATCATAATGAAAATTATGGTTGCCATG